TTGCACCCAGTACAGACTCACAGTGGTTCCCAAGGGCTGCCTGTGGAGTGGTGATCTTGGGAGGCCTGCATGCTTGAAAAGCGTGCAACTGTAGTGTCTAGAGTTCTTCAGCTGTGGGGTGAGAAGACTCAGTTTTTGCTGCTGCACCCGTGGTGGATAGATGCATGCTCCCAGTGTTGGCTCACAGGGGCACTTGTAGTGCATTTGCTAGCACAACACACTGAAGCACTCTTAAGGGCTCTGGTTATTGAAGCTGGGTAGTTGTGGCATCTGTAGGCTGGTATCCAGGATGAGTGAATTCAGAATTTCTACTGCTGGGGGGATTGCATCCCTGTTTATCCAAGATCACACTCAATATGGGCTCACAGCAGCTCCTGTGGATAGATGGGCTCAGGGTGCCTGCTCATTGGAAATGTGCAACTGTGGTGTTGTGTTTGCTGGCGCAGAGCTTTGACACACTCTGAGGGGCCCTGATGATGATGTTGCACAGCTGGGGTGTCTGTGGGCAGTTATTCAGGAAGGAGGAATTCAGAATTTCTACTGTGGGACAGCGTGGCATGGTCTGTACAAAATCACACCGAGCAGGGGCTCACAGTATCTCCCAAGAGCTGCCTATGGAGTGGTGTGCCTTAGATACTTGTGTGTTGAAAATGCATGAATGTGGTATCTGGAAGTCTGCTGCTTAGGAGGCATGATGTTGCACTTACTGCTTTGGAAACAATGCACCTTTGGAGGTGGATGTCCCATGTCAGTGGGTCTGAATGTGGGGCAGCAGGATTTTGGTTAGAGTGGCTGCTGGGTTGCAGGCAGTGTCCAAAGTCTGTCTGGGTGGTGGTGTTAATGAGTTCCTAGAAGAGGCCACTGTCTCCTTCAAGATGGTGTGGGCTCTGTGCCCAAGTACCACAGTCTAGGGAGTGCCCACAGCAGTGGTATTCTCTTCATGTCCAAGAGAGCCTGGTCTTCCAGCCCCTGCTGCTCCTGCCAGATTTAACATTCCCTCACTCACTCACACACCATACCTATCCACACACTCTCCTTTCATCTCCTCACTCACTTACTTCCTCTCCCTAAACTCCACCCTGCCAGCTGCCATCTTTTTCTCCCCTCTTCCTATTATTTCTTAGAAACAATACCACTGTAATATATTTTTAACAATCATCTACTCTACTCCTATGACATTTGCCACACATAGTTACTACCCATGTGAGGAGAAACTTCTCTATTCAAAATCAATGCCTGAAGTTCATAGCATCTAGTCTTGTGTCTTTCAACTTGGGTTCATAGTTAAAGGACCTTTCTTTTCTCTCCCCCACGGCATCTTTCTCTCTTTGGAAATTGCCATTTGGTCAACATGTGGATCCTCACCTGTTGGTCTATTTGAAGGCCAATCCCAATAGAATTTTGCATATGTTGTTTTAGCTTATACTCCAAATATCCTGAAGAATCCTCTAATTGTGCTGAAAATTTATCTAACTTTGTGTTGTCACACAGTAACAGGGAAACAGGAAACTAATTTTATTCTTTTTTTTTTCTAATTCTTTATTGTTGAAAGCATTACATATGCCCCCCTTTAACCTCCCAAAAGCCCCCTCCAGCCAGCCCCCATTCCGTGCCCCTAGCCCTCACCACCCCATTGTCTGTGTCCATGGGCCAAGCAGATATGCATACTAATTTTATTCTTATTAATTTCATCCTAAGAGCATTTCCAGAAATGTGCCATTTTGAATACTGCATTTCAGATATCCATTAATTAGATATATTCAGATATACCTTTCCTTTAATTAAAATAGCAACCCATATTATTGTTAAGTGTCTAATAATGCAAATAATGCTCTTTTACAAAACTGTCTCTATGTAATACTGTGAGGGTTTTTTTGTTTTTTTTTTGTTTTTTGTTTTCATGTCTTCTGTGGTGTTCAGCAGTTAGTGACCTGTTCAAAGCTATCTGTGCTGAAAGGCAGCAGAATGATATGAAAACCTTCTTGCCAATTATTAAAACAATTTAGCTCAGTTTGTCAAGGCTAGAGAGAGAAAAAGCCACACCTACAATGTTTAAGGAAAGATATCTATTTAAGTGTAAGTATTAAAGAATAAGTTAAAATGAATTTCTTCTCATATATCTATTGTTTAATGGGTACATTTCACCAAAATAATGAGGATGTACTCTAAATAAAATGTACTCATGATTAATTTTACTCATTTTTTACTTTTTTATTAAAGTGTGTAGTCGGTAAGGGATTCTCCAGAATGTTTTTAATTAACCAATTAAAAAGAGACATAAAAAATGTAACATACTTGGTGAACTCATTTCAAGCCAGAGCTGATCCTCTGAAAGCTCAGAAATTTGATTTGGTTGTCATACACGGAACAAATAAGACATATGCTAAAAAACAAACAAACACCAGGACATACAATTCCTGAAGGAAGAACTTTATGGGTGGCCAACTTTAATCAAAAGTTTCCAAAAGGAATTGAAACTCAAGGAAGAGGATATAGTTTCATGGTTTGAATGGAAATTTGCCAGACTGAGACCCTATTACCCACATGGAACATGTGTTCCAGGGAATAAAACAGTTATCTGAATTCTGAGACCTGAGTGCTTCTCCTCTGGTCAGAGTCCAGATGGGCATCATCAGCATCTAGCTCTTTGCATATCCTTTATCTATATTTATCTATCTTCTCTTCTCCACCCCATATTTCTCCAGGAGGTCTTATTATCATTAACTAGAATCCATCTTACCAAATCATAATCATAGTCTAGTTTTACCTCATGGAGGAAGCACCAAGTTTTGACTATTTCTGATGTCCTTAGACACTCATTTACAAATCAGCTCTGACAATCCTGGTACAGATAAGCAAAAATTCATTTAGGGCTAATTTTGTTCATTAAAGTCACACAGGGTAATTTGTTTCTCTTATATCCTTAATTTATTTTCTATCTTCTCTGTCACCTTCATTTGCTACTCTATGGTGTTACTACCTTTCCTTTGTTTTCCTCACAGGCAGACATTTCGATTTTTAAAGGGAAGACTTATATTTATAGCTCAAGCTAAAGATGACAGTAAGCTTCAGATAAAGCATTTTTTTATGGATCCCAACCTCCTGAGTAATTTATAAATATGATTGCATAGAATAGTCAGGTCATTCTAAATCTGACATTTCAAATACAAAATACGTCTTAAGTGAACCTGGGTGTAATGATAATATATACATTCACTGAATTACCAAGTGATTTTCCCATTTCAGCATAAAATTGGATGAGATACACACTGTGTTCATTATCTAAGGAGGATACAGTTGACAATGATGCAAAAACTCAAAACCTGAATTGTTTTGAAGAGCCCATTGTGTTCTTCACCTTGTTGCTTGCTATTCATATTAATCTATGGGCTCTTGATCCCTTCTGCCTCTAGAACTTTGGAGGTGTAAAAAATTACTGGATTAAATCTAGAATGTCTGTCCTGACCAGATGGTTTTCTCAGAGAGTATTAGCTTGTGGTCTGTAGGAAGCAGTTCAGTTCTGAGTCATTTAGTTCTGGTATGGTGTACAATGTATAGAACAAACAAATAGGAACTTTGGAAAATTAGTGAGGCTCTAGAAAAGATTCTATCCTTCCAGATATCCTGAGATTTTGAGTTCAGTCTAAGCAGTAATTGCATAAGTATCTAACTATACTTGGGAACCTGGCTAGAACCAAGCAAGCCAAGTGTAACTTGCATAGATGTAGATTGTAGTTCATAGACCTGGGGCAAAGTTGATGGATAATGTCATGGAATGATGCCAAATTACAAAATCTGGTAGATCACTCTAATATTCATCATTCTTAAGGGGATGTACAGAGAGAAACCAGGTACCAAGGCAATGCAAGAATGTGTTCAAGAGTTAGAATAAGGGTCAGTCCTTGACAAGCTTCTGATGTTAACAAGGGGCTAGTTTTAGAACAACTGTTTTACAGTATTCACATAAAAAATAACCATGTACATCATGAGATATAGACACCCATCTTAAGAATGAAACATTACCAAATACAGTTGAATTTCTTGGGTTCTCCTATCTGCATCTCTCAGAGTTTTTTGTATTTATAATATACCATAAATACATGTATTCTTAAATTAATGGTGTGACAAGTTATTTCCTTCATCTATATGCTATTATTCTATGTGAACATTTCTGTAACTTGACTTTTTCATTCAGTATTATGTTTGTGAGATGTTTTCATGTTGATATATGTAGCATTGTTTAGTATTTGTTAGAAGTGATGTCTTTGCTGTAGTCTGAGTTGTAGGGAGGAAAAGAGAAGGAGGAAGTCATTTAAGGGACTTATGCAGACTGCACACTTGGTGTCCCCAAGTGGTGACTCAATTTAGCCATAAGTCAGCTGAAAATGTGGTAACAGTATCTGGCTAATAAAGAATTATAATTATAATGAAAGAAACTGAATTTTCATGAAGAACTTGAAAGCAACTAAATATTATAATATTTCATTGTAATAAACACATGATGTGGACATAATAAATGAATGTTTCTGATTATAAATAATTTTTAGCTTAAGTATATCACTGTTTCAAAAATTAGACACTTATGGGAAAAATTGTTATGGAAAAATGACCTAATTAATTTTTATCTCCTTTGTTTTCTCCACCTTTCCTTCCCCAGTGGATATGATTCCTGTCCTGTAGTTGTCTGAAGGATCAATGTTGAGCATCATTAGTGACTCTCAGCTTCCATCTGACTGTACACCACAGCAAAGTCTTTGGATATCTTTTTCAGTTAAAACAGTAATGATTTTCTTGGAATGTATTCCCAGTGGAGCCTATTTTCTATGTAGCCTGGAAGAATACCTAACTAACATTGGCAATTCTTCAAATACTTTATAAAAAATCACTATATATCAAATAACTGAGTGACTTTGGGTTGTTGAACGGGATCTTAACAATTGGGGATATCAATTCACCTGGAAGATTCAACCACTGCTATTCAGAGTTGCTGCTGAAATACCATGTCTAAGAACTCAGAGTTCATCAATCTCTCATTTTTATTAGATCATGAAAAGGAAATGATTTTAGGAGTTTTAAAGAGAGATGAATATTTGAAAAAAGTGGAGGAAAAGAGAATAAGGTAATATTCTTTTATATTTGCTGCCCTCTTTCACTGCTTTCTGTTTGTTTCAAGCAATTTAGATCATAAATGGGACCACACTGAAGGCAAATGTTGTTCAGTGATTTCATGGGTTCCAAGCCATAGCCCAAATATTTTTGGTACTTTATTATTTAGCTGGATGGAAGAATGGAGTTGACTTAATAATGGTGTTGATGAGAATAACCATTTGGTAATAATGTTATAACATGTAGCTAAGAGGGGGGACTGCCCAAGTTTTAGTGCTAGCTCTGTAATATATTACTTGCATGAACTTGATTAAGTTACTCAATTTCTCCATGCCTTGGTTTCCTCTTCAATTAAACAAGGATAGTAATAATAGTATACACATCACAGGGTTGTTGCAAAAATTAAGGAAGATAATACACATGCAGTATCTGATAACTAAGAATAAAATAAATATCAGCTATTATTTATTTGCTAGAGGCCCAGTGCACAAAATTTGTCTCCGATCAGGACTGCTGGCTCCCAACTGCTCACCTGCTTTCCTTCTGATTGCCCCTAACCGCTTCTGCCTGCCAGTCTGATTACCCCCTAACCACTCCCCTGCCAGCCTGACTGATACCTAATTGCTCCCCTGGCAAACTATTTGCCCCTAACTGCCCTCCCCTGTAGGCCTGGTCACCTCCAACTGCCCTCCTCTGCCATCCTGGTCCTTCCCAACTGCCCTCCCCTGCAGGCTTGATCGCCCCCCAACTGCTCTCCCTTGCAAGCCTGTTCCCTCCCAACTGCCCTCCCCTGCTAGCCTGATCACCCACAACTGCCCTCCTTTGCAGGCCTGGTCCCTCTCAACTTCCCTGCCCTGCTGGTCATCTTGTGGCAGCCATCTTGTATCCACATGAGAGCAGCCATCTTGTGTGTTGGAGTGATGGTCAATTTGCATATTACTCTTTTATCAGATAGGATAGAGGCCTGGTGCATGGGTGGGGGCTGGCTGGTTTGCCCTGAAAAGTGTCCCAGATCAGGGTTGGGGTTCCCTTGGGGTGTGGGCAGCCTGGGTAAGGGGTCTTTGGTGGTTTGCAGGGTGGCCATGTCCCCTGGCAACCCAAATGGAGGCCCTGGTATCTGGGGTTTATTTATCTTCTACAACTGAAACTTTGTGGCCTGGAGCAGAGCCAAGTCTTTTGCTCTCTTTGTGGTGGCAACCATTTCTGTTGGGGTTTATTTACCTTCTATAATTGAAACTATGTAGCCTTATGCTGAGGTCAAGGAAGGCTAGGTAAGATGGAAATCTTGGCTTTCTCCATCATCGGGGGACAACTCTAGCCTCCTGCTCTTTCAGCTCCATGGCTGCTGCCATTTTTGTTGGAATTTGTTTATCTCCTATCATTGAAACTTTGTAGCATTGAAAAGAGGCCTGGGCTGGCAAAAGCAGGCGGAAAGCTTGGCCTCCTCCACAGCCAGGGAAACCCAAGCCTCTGGCCTGCTCTCTGTGGCTGCAGCCATCTTGGTTGTGCATATTTGCATATTTGCTCCTGATTGGCTGGTGGGCGTGGCTAGTGGCTGTGGTGGAGGTATGGTCAATTTGCATATTACTCTTTTTATTAGATAGGATGATGCTTTTCTCAGATCAGTCTTTTTTATTTATTTTTAGAATTACTTTATTGATTAAGGTATCATATATTTGTCCTCATCCCCCCCATTCCCATCCCAAATCCCTTCCAACACATGCCCCCACTCCCCTGTTGTCCATGACCACTGGTTTGACTCTTATGCATGTGTACAAGTCCTTTGGTTGATCTCTCTTCCTTATCCCCAGCCTCCCCTACCGTCCCTCTGAGGTCCGGCAGTCTGATTGATGTTGTTCTTGTTCATCAGTTTATGTTGTTCATCATTTCCCCTAGATGAGTGAGCTCATGTGATACTAGAAATACACTTATAAGAATCAAAAATGAGACAAGCAATAATGGTTATGCTGAGAGGCAAATGAATCAGTCTGTAGTGAGTTTCTTTCTGGGCCAACAGTTCTTTTGAGTCCCAATTTCAATGTCGAACAGTTCCTTATGTGTACATGTCAGCAATGTTATTTCAGTTTTGGATGGTGGACAAATGGTGGTAATTCAGGTCCAATTCTGGGGCTTTGTCTTCACTATAGTTGGGAGAAGAAGCAGGGGTCCTGGGGAGTGAAAAGTACTCATTCTAGCACAGGAACACCTAAGTTTTTTCAAATATGTATCTGTGAGAAAAGTTGAGTAATATTGGCAAAGTTGAGTTTCATATCAGTTTGATATTTGGCTAAATCCCAATATATGATCTCACTTATGTTTCAGCCAGCACCCATTCTGAATTGATTGCATCATCTGTTCTGAATGGTCATATAGTCATTCTGATTGGCTACTTCATGCACTGCAATTAGTTGTTACCTGTACTGTCTTGCTTGTTAAATATATTTAGCTATTACATATTACCCCTGAATACAGGAGCAGATATAAACAGCTTCCTCCTCGGTTACTGCTTACTGTGCAACATGTAGATATTGTGTCTTGTATGTTTCCCCAAACTGCAATCAGAAACTTTGTTTATTTTACTTGAAGAGAAAACTTGTAGTAATATTATCTTAACATGTTCCAAAAATAATCAATGCATTTAAAGCAACTAGGATCCTTAGCATTGGAAATACATGAAAATATTCTTGTTTATTTCATATTACAATATACAGAAGAGCTCTCCAGGGTAAAGTTATTGATTTTCTGGCTCTTTAATTTTTTTTTTTGAGGAATTGAGTGTTTTTTTTCTACAATAAACTATATTAAATGTGTTGTCTCATTTTGTTCTGAGCTACGAAGATATGAGTCAAGTCCAGATGATTCTGGTTCTGTCACTCTTAACAGCTTTGTATTGAGAAACCATGCCAAATTTGGCGCATGCTGTTTAGAGTACATGCTGTTGAAGCATACATCCATACTTATTGAAATCTTAGTTGCACCATGAAATCTTCATGTCACCTTGGACAAGTTACTTCCATAGATAAATCTAGTTTCCTCATTTGACAAACAGAAATTGTAACATTAGCTACCTCATAAAGTTGTAAGGATTACATAAGGTGATATTATCAAGAACATAGAGCAATACGGACATACAGTAAGCACTCAATAATTCCTGGCTATAATCACTATTCCTATTGTTGGTTTGTTTGGCTCTTGATTTACTAGTTCTAGTGACCACTATCAGTGCTCTATTCAGATCCTCTAGGATCCCTTGGATCTATGCTTTCATCCCCCAATTTCTACCTGCTTTACTTCTAAGGGTTGGCGTCACTGTTTTCTTTAGAGGACGATCTTTGGGTGGTTAAAGTTGCCCATAGGATTAGAGAACCGCAAGTGACAGATAAACTTGAGTTTATGTCCCTACTTGACAGCCCCAAATCAATGGCTGACAGATACTGTAACCATTTTCCTCTACCTTGAAGCAAGACACACCCCACAATGCAACTTCTGCTTCAGAGCTCCCCATGGGAACATGCTTAGGCTGGACTTCACCTTGGCTTAGGCTCTCCCCCTTCCCTCTCCTACTTACCTACTCCCTTATAGGTTCCTCCAGAGAGCACTACTTAAATCATTTGCACAACAAATTCACATTTCAGAATAAGCTTCTGGAAAACTCAACTAGAGGATTTGCTAGAGTAGACAAGTAACTTAGTCATTTTCCTTGGTATCATCCAAAGTTATCAATATAAGGAAATTATGGTGTAACAGATTTTATTGTACCAGTAAATTTTGTGTTAGTTATTATAATTGTTTTCACTGTGATACAGAGGTGTAGGTTGATATTTGGTGAGACTCTAGAGGAAAAAGTAATCAGTTATGAATACAATCTATATAGAAGAAATGGTTTCACAGGAGAGGTTACATATGAGCTTAGCCATGAGATATCAAAAGGATTTTGATACTAGAAAATATATGTCAACAGTTTTTCACCTATTTACAATTAATCTCAAAATTGCTTTCAGATTCTGCTAATAAGTTTCAGAAAGAAATGGGAGCCAAAGGGATAAAAATAAGCATTATGATCATCACAAAGAAAAAACTGATCTGGAAAGTTAGTAAACTGGAGTTTGGGAAGCAGTGGATTTTGTGTTTGTGTATTTATTTGCTTAAGCAGGCTGTCCTTAGGGATTAAAATAATAGAACACTGGAAGAATGTAAAAATTGTATTGAATCAACATTTAAAGGCCTCTCATGCAATTGTGCTCTACAGTTCACATAGCCACTAAAATGCGGCATTCATAAGGTAAAACTGGTCTCTGGGTGCTCTTAAAAGTTCTCTGTACCAAAAAGCACACTGAAACCTGATTATTACCTCCAGGCATGAACTGTAGTTTGAGGAGAAATAACTGGTTATTATCAGAGCATTCTAGATTCATCTCAGAGGCTCAAATATGTATAGTTTTCTATTTAAGTCCAAGCAGGAAGGAGTGATACAAGACATATACACACAGGTTTCGAGTATTAGAGAGAATATTTTAAATATTCTCTGTGAAGATCAAATCAATTAGGTTTATTGAAGCTTTAATGCAATGAAGAAAGAGGGAGGAACTGATGCAAAGAAAATTGAACTACCAATAATGACTGCAAATGCAAAAAAAATATTTCATTTGAAAGCATAATATTAAAATACTAGAGGCCTGGTGCACGAAATTTGTGTACAGGGGCAGAGGGGGTTGTCCCTCAGCCCAGCCTGCACCCTCTCCAATCTGGGACCCCTTAAGGGATGTGCAACTGCCCATGATCGGGCCTAAATGGGTAGTCGGACATCCCTCTCACAATCCAGGACTATTGGCTTCCAACTGCTCACCTGCCTGCCTTCCTGAATGCCCCTAACCACTTCTGTCTGCCAGCCTGATCACCCCCTAACCACTCCCATGCCAGCCTGATTGGTCTAACTGCTCCCCTGCCAGCCTGTTTGCTCCCAAATTCCCTCTTCTGCCAGCCTGGTCACCCCTAACTGCCCTCCACTACAGG